CCCCCTTCTTATATTGTCTCTTAACCCCCACCCCACCCCCCGTAATATTACACTGTTCGCCTATAATAATAATAATATGACATTCATATCCGTGTTACAATCATTGATCTATGCGTCTTACATAATATTCATGAAAAACATGCGTACACACATTCATGCACATAAAATAAAATATGCAGTTCTACATTCACTAAAAAATAACAGAGTAAATCATTCAAGCAAAATAATGCATACACTCTTTCTTACTAATAAGGGAAAAAATTGAGATGCATGTCAATGTCAAAACACCCCCAAATTACAGTAGAATTTTGATAAAGTTAACACCTCGGGATCGAAAAAAAGTATAATATTACATTGGTTCAAGACCACCCCCTGATTCTTACACTTTTCTTACAAGAGAAGGTTCCCTTACTTACTCACATTCTCGTGAATAATTTTGTCTGACACAAATAAGATCAGCAATATGGCATGTACCCGAAAAAGGGACACGCGACAAATACAAACATTTACCAACCCCCCCTCCCCCCAAAAAAAACCCCAACATCTCAATTGTTCTTGGTCTTTCAGGATTTTCCCTGGTACATCGAGCTACCTAACGTTTTAGACGCAGAAATGATCCATCTGTAGTGCTCAACCTGCACGAAGTCTCAGGAAACTGTCTCTGGTCCTCCCATTTTATGACAGCGAGGCTCCAACTGTAGCAGCGACTGGGAAAGTGGCCGGTGAAGAGACGCACGGGCCAGTGCCAGGATCATCATTGGACGAGGAACTGAGGACGATGGAAAAGATGTTTTAATAAAAATAGGTGGAGGCTAAAACAATATTAATAGACGAAGAGCTCAGGAGGATAGAAATGATGGCAATCATTAAACTTTAGCAAATAACTTGAGTTTATAATAGGTGGAGGCTATAAGAACATTATTAGACGAAAAGCTCAGGACAAAAGAAATGATGGCAATCGTTAAACTTTGGCAAATAACTTGAGTTTATAATAGGTGGAGGCAATATGAACATCATAGGACAAGTAACTCATGTGGATGACAGGAATAAATCACAACAAATTAACTTGTGCAAACAAATTGGGTTGATAATAGAAAGGTGTATATTATTTTAGAAATTACCCACAAAAGTTTTCTACAGGATTTTTTAGGCTTACATTTTCGGAATCCAAGAAAGAGGTTCATTAAATTTTTTGTTTCTGAATATGTTTGATGAAAATCCAACTGTGTGCAGATTTTCTATGGTCTTTTTTCCACTTTGTGGATATTTCTTTGGAACTTTTGAAGGGTGGAAAGTTTTGAGGAGGGAAGTGGTTATACAGTAGTCTCCACCTAAGATCCCGGTGCTCGGGAGCAAGGAAATGCGGGATCTTAGGCGAACCGGGATCTTAACCGACGAACCCAGGGAAGAATCTATGGTGACTCATGTTAAGGCTCACAATTGGTAAAATGTTCTCCCTCCACTCTGCAATGAACTGACGTGCCCCCTTGGTGGGTTTATGACGTATGGCGAACAAAAAAGTGGTTAACCTTGATGACCTATCACGGTGCATAGTGGCATGAGGCGTACCATTTTCACTTATTATCCTATCATGAGTCTCGAGATCTACGCTTATCCAGTTGCCCCTCCTCTTTACCTGTCAAAAATTTATAGCTTTCCATCTCTGACCGAGCCCCCTCCCCCTCCAAACCGCCTTTGTCGTTACACACCATTACATTGTGAACCCACCAATTAAAATTCAGTCTGTCTTGCAAATTCGGGAGTAGAGACAACTGCTGCAAATGGTCAAGGAAGAGTTCACGGTTCGATGTGATCCTGCCTGGAGGGAAAGTGTAGGGCCTACCCACCCAGAGAGTGATGCAAGTTTAGGTGGCAAGCTCAGGTGTTAGTGCGATGCATGGGGAAAACAAACGCGTCGGTCAGTTCACACCCCAGTGTGATCCCGTCTGGGGCAAACATTGTATCGCTGCATCGAGTTTTACAACATGTATGTGATCACATTTACGATAGTGGTTGATCTTTGACGCGACGGACAGTTTATTGATCTCAACTTTTCACTCTAGGTTGATCGGCTGTGCCCGCCCGGGTTTTTGTTTAGCAATTTATGATCTGAAATGCGGGATCTTAGCCGAATGTAGACCATCAGAGCAGGATCTTAGGGGTGACTTTTGTATAGTAAAAATTCTGTTTTCCTAAAACAGCGGGATCTTAAGCGAACCGGGATCGTAAGTGGTGGGATCTTAGGCGGAGACCACTGTATAGTCAGCTCCCTATCCTTCTTGTTCAAAGTGTTGTACATTCATTTGTGTGAAACTCTGGATTTTATGATTTCAAGGACATAAAAGAGCTTATAAAGTCAAGAAAAATGTTCTTCGGAGACATATATAACATAGTAGGCCTACTGGAACATTTAATAAACCTCTGAAAAATTATCAGGAAATAACAAAATCATCTTACATCTTTATGTTGCACTTGTAGTTTTTTTTGCCAAATTATAGCCTTCCCAATTCTTTTATTGTTTTCATATATTCTTCTTTACTATTCACGACAATTGTTTAGAGTTATTATCAATTCAATTTTCATTGATGAGCACAATTTAAAAAGAAAGAAAATGACTGTCTAAAAATGTTCCTGCTATTTTTTTGTCATGTATAGAAAGAGTACAATTTGATAACGTAAAAAGTAAAAATACCCAGAAAATAATAACATAAAAAAATCATGAGGTACTGAGAGACAGAGCTGAGGATTTGTAGTGCAATGGTGAACACTATAAACTTACTTCTTAGACTTCAATGGAGATAGATCTAACGGTCTGGCTGACGATGGAGGGGAAGTAGAAGTTCCCGTAGTTGAGTTGAATGACAATCGTGGACCGATGTCTGAGTTGATTTTCAGGTTCCGAGGAAGACAATGAAACGGATATGTAGAATTCAATATTGACCAGTTGGATCTAGCCGAAAGAGCAATCTGTATCTTTATACAAAATACATTTCATTAGAAGTTTAGGAATCTTAAAATACTTATTTTCATTTCTCTCTACACATGTGAAATTTTACAGGTTACTGTATAGGTCGCTTTATCTTCACAAAAGTTTTTCTAATCGGGCCTAAATCCGTTGGTTATTTTTGGAGATTCTCCATTATCATTAGCAGGAGTACAGGACGGGTCTGTCTATGTGGCTCATAAAGGTTACTTCATTATTGTAAAAACAGATTTCACCATACACTTTACTACAATCTTTATGCTTCCACTACGCATTTAACGAAAAAATACATCATGTACCAATGCTAGCTACAGGGGACATAACCAATATATAGCCATATAATCAACAGTTTGACAAGAAAAAGAAGTAGACCCAATACTAGCAAACGACTTCTTTACTGAATTTCAACAATAGCTTAAACCTCAGAAAAGTTAACTTACTTTGAGAAATTCTGAAACCAATTAACAAAGCATGCTCACCTAAACAACTTGAAACTCAGCTCGGAGCAAGTGCAGGTACATTTTACAGTTTAGCCATCTGTTCTGTGATACGAGCCGCCACAAGCCATAGGCCTGCGATCACCTGATCCTATTCTAAGTTACCATCGGACACCTTGTCAATTGCTGGAATGAGGAAAAAAAATGACAATTTTCAAACTGAGCATAATGTGGTTAACGCAAACAGCAAAACAACCAACCAAACAATCCTCGGATCACATCAGACATTATCGCTACTATTACTAGATCTAGGGAGCGATATGATATCAAAACTGTTAAAATCTTTACACATATAGAGAAACTAAGGCTAAGAGATCTTGAGCATGCTAATTTGTACGTTTCTGACTGAAATTCAGAACGGGTGGAGGGTTTCCTGTTCCAAAAGTTCGCCAACTGCACACCTTTCTCAAACAAATTTCAAAATCCAAAAAAACAATTTAAAAAACAGACATTATGTCCCACATCAATCTAATTAGTTGAGTGACTGATACATTTATTTAGCACTGGCGCTAATCGCAAAGCGGCTTTGCAAATAGGCAGTTCCTTGAAAAAAAAATTAAAATGCCTCCCAAATTTTACTCTAGACCTAGACTAGATCTAGATTCTAGATCTAAATCTAGACCTACAGGAACATAATTAGGGCTGGCTGGACAGTACTTTAATTCTACGACTTCAGTGTTGCGGAAGTTTGGGAAATTAAAACTTGATGCCTTGTCTTGGCCTTGTTGTTCAATGTTGCCATATTATATTATATATATATAGACTAGATCTAGAATCTACCTAGATCTAGATTCTAGATTAGATCTAGATATCTAGATCTATACACTATACACTATACTATAGACACATACTAAGACAACCTACCGCTACCTTAGAAAATTACAGTCTATAGTCTTATATATATCTGCTTAGTACCTAGACCTAGAATCTAGATCTAAATCTAGATCTAGATCTAGATATAGTTTTGAGATATATGACGTGAAGAATTTCGAGTTTCACAAAATGTCAAGGTTTTTCGAATGGTAGCGTCAATTACCACCGAGTGACGCGGTGGCAATTGACAAAAATTGACTTTTTGTCAATTGCCACCGAGTGAAGCGGTGTCAAGTCTGAAAACAACACTATCTTTAGCATTATACATAATCTGTGTCTAATAGGTCAATTTGTTCTCAACTAATTTAATTGGACGAGCATCTAGATTTCTAGATCTAGTCTAGAGCTACGGTACCAACTTGGCGTGTTTTCAATGAGATGTAGGCCTAGATCTAGGCTAGAAGCCTTAGCCTACACTTTGGTGTAGAACCAACACAGGCAATTCTAGAAGTAGAAGGTCACAAACGCACACAAACTCAAGCAGAAAAGACACACACACACACATAAACACAGAGAGGCGAACGCACAACACCGAGCACTCGCGAGCACAATAAGCTAGATCTACCCACCCTCCAACGCAAAAGAGCTCTAATTTACTCGGTGGCAATTGACAAAAAGTCAATTTTTGTCAATTGCCACCGCGCCACTCGGTGGCAATTGACACTACCTTTTCGAATAGCCTAGATCTATTCTAGATCTAGATCTAGATTAGATCTAGATATCTAGATCTAGATGTAGGCCTAGAATCTAGATCTAGTGTTTTGACAGTGCAGGTAGACCATTAGACTAGATCTAGGCTATTCTAGGCGTCGTAGGCCTAACTGATAGGCCTTGATTTTCTATAGAATCTAGATATAGATCTAGATCTAGGCGTATTGGCTTAATTAATAGGCCTGCCTAGATCTAGATCTAGATCTAGAATCTAGAGAATCTTTATTAAGTCTAATACTTCTCCGATCCCTCAGCAGTGACAGCAGTTACCCGGCATCGAACGTCGAAGCTATTCTTCCTTTGATGTGTACATCTAGATCTAGAATCTATCTAGATCTACCTAATGATGTTATTGGCATATTCCAGATCGGATTCTTCCCTAAGACAGTCTTTAGTAAAGCCATAGCCAGAATGTGGACTCAGCTGATAGCAAACTGTCAACAAAGAACTTTAAATGGCAGCGTGTCATCGAACTTTGAAAATGGGTTGGTCACTTCGAAACCAAAGAATTAGTTTAAGATCTTTATCTAGATATCTAGAAGATCTCGATCTATACAATTTGTAATTTCGTCTAGATGATGAGGTTCCCGGAAAATTCATGAAGCTATAGCACTTGGAGGTTGAAATAATTTTAATTACGAAAATATCAATTGAAAAGAAAAAAAGCGAATAATAACAAAGCGAAAACAAGGAACATAACAATGAAAGAATTGAAAAGAAAAAAAGCGAATAGTAGACCGCCAAAAACAAGGGACATAACAATGAAATTAAGAAATGGCAGCCTGCTAGTTATTCCCCTTTACGGGACCAACTACGTCATCGTTCTTTGTCTACGCACCTACGTCATCATTCGATGAGTACACCTATATCATCAACGTCATCGTTCTTTGTGTAAATACTACGTCATCGTTCAATGGGTACACATATACATCATCATTCAATGAGTACACACATACGTCATTGTTCTTTGTGTAAACACTACGTCATTGGCCATTGTGTGCACATAAAATCCTACAAAAGCTTGATTTGGTTGTATCGTTTCGCTAAAAGCATGTGGGTTAGCAGAGCAGTAATTATCACGCCTAAAATATTATTTTAGAGAATGAAAGACTTGTAAACTTGTTTTGCATTGGAAATTACCTTCCTCTGTCTGTATAACGTAATATGTTTTTTAAATAATTTTTTTTTCGTGCGTATTTCCGGCACAAGCAAAGATCTTACACTAATTAGTACTTCATTTTGTGGAAGTGGTGCCACCCATATAAACGGAAGTGATGCCACCCACTCTAAGACATAGACTTAAGGACGTGAAAAGCGCGGATCAACAGACGAATTAGTAGCCTACTTTTCGAGACAGAATGGTGGTTTTTAGAATGCTAGAGCTAGTGCGAAGCAGGATGGGGGTTCAGAGATTGTACATGTAAATGGGGACACGCCGGCCATGCCAATAAGAGTAAGAAAGTACCCATGTCTGACACATAGAACGTCACGCTGTGAGCTATTGTATTAGGCTATAATCTTTGGGTTTGAGTTAAGGAAGATAACCCAAAAAATTCACCCCTTCAGTATTTTTCATGGTTACCTCTCTTTGACCATATTTTGAGTATTATTATTTCAGTCTAATCTGACATAATTTTTCTCACGCAGATTTGTTTTGATGTGCTAGGTGGATAGAGCTCATTTTCCTGAGAAATTTGATACCAAAATCACATAGATCTAGATCTAGATCTATATTATTTAATTTTTCAGCCAGTTACAGATGTTCAAATTTCGGTAATATTTGTTGGGCTTTCCAAGAGGCTCTATTTGTTGACAAGTGTAAATAAGCCAGGCTGTGTTTGGTACGTCAGTGACTAGATCTAGATTCTAGATCTAGATCTACCTGCTGATCCAGAACAAGATGTTTTGATATCTAAATCTAGATATATCTAGATCTAGATTCTAGATCTAATCTAGATCTAGATCTAGATTTAGAGGCACTACTGTACAATTGCGGTCCCGTTTGTTTACAATTTACATGATGGCCATTGTGGGAGTGAATTTAGAAGATCTAGATCTATATCTAGATATATATCTAGATCTAATTCTAGAATCTAGATATCTAGTTCCCACCCCGCAATTAGGAACTACCGAAAAAGCACCAAGTTATCTAGATCTAGAGATTCTAGATTCTAGATCTAAATCTAGATCTAGATCTAGGTCTAGATCTAATCTAGATCATTTTAATTCAGTTTAGATCTAGATCTAGATCTAGATCTAGAATCTAGATATTAGATCTAGATCTTGGTCTAAATAAGAAACACGTAAAAATTACTACATGTGCAGGGGAGATCTTGATCTAGAGTCTAGATTAGATTTCTAGATCTAGATCTAGATCTAGTTCTAGATTCTAGATGTAGATCTAGATCTAGATTCTAGTCTTGATCTAGATCTAGTGTGATTTAGTACAAAGCAAACGGGACTGCAATTGTACAGGAGTGCCGATCACATATGTGTGTGCCGATCTAGGAGCCATGTTGGTGACCAGGTTTTTTTCTGACTGTTCTTTGGCTTAGATCTAGGATCTAGGGCATCGTAGATCTTAAGTCTAGATCTATTTGTTTGCTAATTTCGTAATCAACACCCAAACATTCTCTCTCTCTCCCTCCCTCTCTCTCTCCGGCCGACCAACAACACACCTTAACCCAAACCCTAACATGAACCCTTACCCTGACCCAAATCGTAACCCTAACCCTAGGTCTAACCCTTACCCTAACCCTAACTCTTGTATAGTTTGCTCAGTGGACCTTGTCGTGGTAAGTGCCGGCCCTCCGCGGAACTCCTCCCTGAAAATGTAGTTTTCTGAATACAGGGTGTCTTTTAAAAAAAGAGGACCCCATTAAAATAACTCAGTCATCTAGACATTATAATTTCAATAAAACTTCGAACAAATAAAATTCTGATGCTTTCGTGGTCTAGAGGTTACGGTGTTCTCCCCTAATTCAATACGTCCCACATTCGAAACCTGACAGCGACAGAAATTTAAAATGTTTTTTCTAAAATCTTCTCCTTTCCCCTCCTTTAACCTGCTCTCTAACCTGTCCTCAGAGAAAGTTGCATTTGAAAATAGCAAAAAGTTGCAAGAAAAATTAGCAAAAGTTGCAAGACGTGTATAGCTAAAACAATGCCACGGAACTATTGGAATACATTGTTGCTATGCTCATTGCAATCTAAAGTAACCTATGAGTTTTGTTAGATCAAAATCAGAAGTTAAATGTGAATGTCTAGAAGTTAAATGTGAATGTCCACCAAAAAAAAAAAAAAATAAAAAAAACCCCTGCATGGAGGTTGCATGGTGCTTAAACGCTCGCTGACGTTGGGCAGGTGTGACCAGCGTGGTTTTGGGGCTGTTCAAATATAATCTTACACTTTTTAAACACTTTCCTGCCCCCCCCCCCCCTCCCTCAATCCCGTAATATTACGTTATTCGCTTAAAATTATATGACATTTACATTGCGCAAATCAGTGTTACAATCATCTTCTATGCGCTATACCTTTAAATGATTAATTATAGTATTCATGAAAAACATGCATAGATCTACACACATGTGACAATGTGACATAATAATTAAATACGCTTCAAGCGGAACTTTTCCAGAAAAACGTACATTGTCATTTTACCACTTTAACGGCACCGGTGTAATCAAAATTAGACTAGATCTACATGTTAATTGTTATGTAGCCCAGATGTCTACCAGTGTATAAAGTGCGAGTTGACATATATATATATATATATATATATATATATATATATATATATATAGATTCTGTGTTTTTGTGAGCCAAAATAAGTGAGCTTTGTGAGCTAATTAAATCTATAAATAAACAGTTCTTTATCTTGAGCTTTTTCAAGATTCTCCATTTGCATTATTTAGCATTGTTTCTATGTATTTGTTTCTTTTTCATTTTGTTTCAGATCCCAACAGTCGTCTGAACCTGAGTGCCATAGAAATCTCGCCCTTCCTTGAGATACAGCCATAGTTCTCTCCCCTGACCATAGAATACGAAGCTTTCACCGACAAAGACATCTTGCTGGTTCGGATCCAGGCAAGGTCTAAGCTCTGTGGCGCCATCGGCTGGCTAGATAACACAGTGGACAGCAAACAGTAAGTCCAGGTTTTGTGTTGAGGACAAGTCAACATTTCTCTCAGACAAAATGATTTTTTTTTGTGGATAACTTGTTTTGTTTTTGTGTTGAATCCTTAACGTCTTTAATTGAAACAAAAACTGCTGTATCTTAGATTTAGTGACTGATGCAATGTTTCAACCCCAGGTAGTAAAGTGACTGATGCAATGTTTCAACCCCAGGTAGTAAAGTGACTGATGCAATGTTTCAACTCCAGGTAGTAAAGTGACTGATGCAATGTTTCAACTCCAGGTAGTAAAGTGACTGATGCAATGTGGCGTCGGTGGCCTAGTGGTTAGGCTCTCGGACTTGCAACCGTAAGGTCGTGGGTTCGAATCCCGTCAAGGGCCCGACGTTGTGTCCTTGGGAAAGGCACTTTACACGAATTTTCCTCACTTCACCCAGGTGGGAATGGGTACCCGGCTATAGACAGCGAAAGATCTTGTCAGTTTGTTAGTGTTTGAGCGCTTAATCGGCTGCTCGCACTGTATGCTTCCCGGGAAGCTGAGAATGTTTCGGAGTGTTCTATGGTCTGCTGGGGTAATAATATAGTGTAAAGCGCATAGAGCCTGCTGCTGAGCGGGGATATGCGCTATACAAATGCTTTCTATTATTATTATTATTATTAATGTTTCAACTCCAGGTAGTAAAGTGACTGATGCAATGTTTCAACCCCAGGTAGTAAAGTGACTGATGCAATGTTTCAACTCCAGGTAGTAAAGTGACTGATGCAATGTGGCGTCGGTGGCCTAGTGGTTAGGCTCTCGGACTTGCAACCGTAAGGTCGTGGGTTCGAATCCCGTCAAGGGCCCGACGTTGTGTCCTTGGGAAAGGCACTTTACACGAATTTTCCTCACTTCACCCAGGTGGGAATGGGTACCCGGCTATAGACAGCGAAAGATCTTGTCAGTTTGTTAGTGTTTGAGCGCTTAATCGGCTGCTCGCACTGTATGCTTCCCGGGAAGCTGAGAATGTTTCGGAGTGTTCTATGGTCTGCTGGGGTAATAATATAGTGTAAAGCGCATAGAGCCTGCTGCTGAGCGGGGATATGCGCTATACAAATGCTTTCTATTATTATTATTATTATTAATGTTTCAACTCCAGGTAGTAAAGTGACTGATGCAATGTTTCAACCCCAGGTAGTAAAGTGACTGATGCAATGTTTCAACTCCAGGTAGTAAAGTGACTGATGCAATGTTTCAACTCCAGGTAGTAAAGTCTGTCCCCGTGGTTTTATGCATCCCGCATAATTGAGCACAATTTGATCTTTTTTTGGCTTAATTTCTTATTATTTTCCTTTATCATTCTCTGCGAATTAAGAGAATCGCATAATTTCACATTTTTGGGCTCAGTTTGCATAATTTCAGAATTTTCTTTCATAAAACGACGGGGACAGTAAAGTGACTTGGCTGTTTTGAGTCGGCTCTGCTTCAACATGTGAAGACAACTGGGAAAAAAAACCAGTCAAATTTTATATGATCGTCTATACACACATAGCAAAACACGCACACAGTGGTCCGATTATCAGGCCCTAAATCTTTTCTTGTTTATTTTCTGTATTGAAAATGTGTACATAGCAGAATTTGTACATTATAACAGTGTACGGCTGATTTCAATATGTGTGTGTTAGTTTGCGTGAGTTAGTTTGTGTGTGTTAGTCAGACTGTTAGTAAATGTGTGTTCGACTGTTAATAAATGTGTGTCAGTTAGACTTAGACTGTTAGTTTGTGTGTTAGTTAGACGACTGAGTTTAGAATAATACCTACTTGGGGTTTCATGACACTACAGTTCAAGGTCAGCCCCAGAGCGTCTTTGCGTTGTCGCTACATCACAGCACGCTGTTCCTGTGGGATATAATTGTGACCCCACCTGATGCACACTAGGTCAAACAAGTCCAAATACGGGGCTGAACTTTTCCCCAAGTCTTTGTTCTGTTTGGTGGCTGTGTGCTGAGGCCTTTAGCTCCAGTTCACAACTTACTGCTTTCTCTTTTTTTATTTATTTATATTATATTGAATTAATACTTTATACAATTTATACGCCATAAATCTAATAAACTATACGTAAACATGACGTGCATTTTGTCTTTTTTTCATTGAATTTCTTGTTCCAGTTGTATATATATATATATATGTATGTATGTGTGCATGTTTTGTGTGATTTGCACTGTCTACTTCTTTGCTACAGCAGAGGTTCCGAGTGTCCAAATCTACTCTTTGCAAACTTACGATCAGTTTGAGCAATGTACCACTATACATGTACACTGTTCTAAAACTATACTGTACTGAAGTGGAATTGAACTTGAATTTGTAAGCCAAATGTCTACCAGCTCCGCTAAGATACCAACTGCCGAGTCTACTCAAAGACTGGCTACTGCTTACAGGCTGGAAGTTCAGCAGGTCATGAGCTCGACTGGTAAGGGGCATGGCTCTAGTTCGAACCCCCAGCGCATGGGTGGTTGGCAGATGCTCTGGTATGGTTTGCTCCTTCTTTCCTATCCAACATCTATCGTCCTTGGGTCGGCCTACATTCATCACGTAGCGGGTGTTTGTTTGGATGAGGAAAGAGAAGCCCGTCAACACAATGTCAGTCATTTGGTGCTGCGAAAAAGTCAGACAGACGGAAACAACAGACGGAAAATAGAGAAGTAGAACCTACCAGTGGTACCCTCCAACCACACAGACAGACGGAAACAACAGAGGGAAAGAAAAGAAGTAGGACCTACAATTGGCCCCTCCAACTAACTGCAACTATTGACATGATCTATTAGAAGTTGTGAAAAGAAACCAGAAACAAAGCAGCACAATGTTAATTAATAAAATCTCACACGTTTATTTGAGAACTGGTCATCTCATAACCCAGGAAAACAAACAACAACATTGTAGTCAGCAAAAATGTACACAGAATCCACATCTCCCACACAGACACACACACAGGCAAACAGTCAGTCAGTCAGACACACACACAGGCAAACAGTCAGTCAGACACACACACAGGCAAACAGTCAGTCAGACACACAGGAAGGCAAACAGCAGGACAAGTAAAGTATAGCCGCCCCCCCCCCCACACCCCCCCCCACCATCTACCACGAGGACCACAGCCCAGTGTTTCCCATATGTGCAAGTCAGTGTAAGATCATGTGGTCGCTTTTAAGGACAAGCAGGCTAACCCAGATTTCGGGGGTTTCCAGGAATCTTGACCTACACCAAAAGTGGGCATTGCCCTAGATCTAGGAGAGGTTTGGTCACATTGGGGTGTACATTTGTTAGGTAATAGAGAAAACTCTCCTTGTCTTTTAAAGACACTGAACTAAGAACAAAAACTCTACCTTTGATTTTCTCAAAACAGTATTTTTCGGGATAGCCCCCTTGTGCTTAAAAGCGACCATGTATGTATGACACAGCCACTCCGCATGTTGCCCACAAGACACAAGTCCCTAGCAGGGAGCTGGGCCGGGCTGGGCTGAGGTGAGAGTTGGGGTGAGTAGATCAATTCCTCTCTACCACACCTGTCTGAAACGGAAACCTTCCTTATCCTACTAGCACGCAGCTGTGGTAGGGTGGGGGTTCGGGTTTGATCAATTACACCGGTCTAAGTCTAAGACGGAAACCTTCACAATGAGGAAATGGAAGAGAAATTTCTTCCCCTTTCGAGGGTTCTGACCTGCCTAAGACACAAAACTACTTTGCCCACTTGGCTCTTTTTGGAAACACAACTTGTTCCATCAGCTCCACCCATAATGTCACACTGTCGGGCTAAGGGAGGGGGCCTGCAGTTACTAGTTCGCCCGTCTATGTGAGCCCCACTTCCCCTGCCCAAGACAGAACGAGAACATTTCCCTGGCTCCGTCGCGACTCAGCCTAGAACAGGTCGTGCTGTACTTTACTTTGGCCCAGACAGCTGCAGACAATCATTCCCCGCTCACACACACGCCCGCCACACCACAGAACAAACTGTCACACATCAGTTAGTAAAGCTGGTTGATTATCAGTGAAAAAAATAATCTCGGGTGAGCTTTTGAAAGAATAAAAAACCCACCAACAAATCCTGTGAACTTAAGCACGCGAGTCCACACATACAAAGTAAATACTTCATGGTCAAAACACAATTTCAGCCATTTTGTTTGGTGTTGAGAAAACTTCAGGAAACTGGGCTGACTTATGTCAACCTTATGACCAGCAAAAATGGAAACAAAACTGTCAAATTTTGGATTTTTAGTAAACAACGATGTTACAGCCAGGCCAGGAAACTCCAAGTATTTTGATCATTGCAACAACTCAATGGTGGTAAAAAATGAGTAACACATGGACAACTGTGACGGCCGTCATGATATCGACGATGATCTCACTCGCTACTGCTCCATCGCAGGACACAGGAAAAAGAGAAGGAAGAAAAAAAGAAAATGCAGAACTCTCCACCCTTAGACGTAAATAAAAAAAGGTGCACATTTGTCGCCGTCATTCAACATCCTCGTATGCCAAAATTGGGGAAAAAATGAGAACCCAGTAGCCTATGTTGTAGAGGTACTTCCACTGGTCCAAGACTCATTTCCTTCTTAACCCTAACTCTGGCAAGTGGTTTCAACAGGAATGGCAGGGCCAGTCAGCCAAAACGTGCACATGCTTTACAAATCAAATTTATGGACTTGCATCAAATAAAAACCCTACAAAAGTATATATTTTCTGAAAGAATTGAATGAACGTTTATATTTTGCCATTGAACATATGATTTTATTTAATTTTCAAGGGGTTATGTAACTTTGAAATCCAAGATGGCTGACAAAAAATGTACATGCTCATTAGCATATTCACCAATCTAATGTATTTCTTGTTATAAAAAATGTGAGATAGCAGAAATATGGGTTTTTCAATTACCTTTCAGAAAATGTATAGATTTATAGGTTTGAGAAGAACAGGTAATGAGTTATGACTGTTTCAACTTGTCATGTGGTCTGTTTCGAGCGCAGCTGATGATACTCGCTAATTTCATACCATACTCAACATAAAAACACTCTAAGTACAACCATGTGGTTTTCAGCAATCTGCTGGTAGTCTGTAATAATTAGTATAGCAAAAGGAACCTACTTGACTCTATAGCTCTCCTTTTTCTGCCCCTATTAGACTCCCAAAGTAGTAGAATCTAGTGTTCCATTTGAAAGAGAAGTTGGGGCAGGTTGAGAACTGGTACATGTATCCCCATTGTCTGTCAGATCTAATCCCAATCTTGACTGAACACCAATAAATCCACCACTAACAGTGTCTGAATTACTTTCCCTAGTCAATTCACTTTCAAATGTATCCAAAAAAGATCGATTTTTGGCCATTTTAGACCCACACAAGTGATAGATCTACACTGGCATTAGTGGCTTGTGACTTGTGGCCTGATCAACAAGCTTTCAAAACATCCCTGTTTTGAAAGCAAAATACTCTTCTCCTAGGCCAGAATGGTACAAATATTCTGATTGGTTGGAGGTTAGCCTTTTAGCCAATCAGAAATCACTTTGGGAAGCCCCAAATATTTAGTTGGAAGGCAGAAGCAGCAGTTTACTATATGGTCCTATGAGATCGGCCCTGCCAGTTTCATGGCAGGAAATGGGCTGATCTAATCGGCCCTTGCCAGAGTGAGGGTTAACACAGGTTTATACAAATTAAATATTTTGTAGTAACCCCAAAATGATCTGCATGAAATGAAACTGTACTTTGCTTTTCTTGAAAACCTCTTTTTTGTTTTTGACATACGACAATGACAAATGAAGGCCACATTTTAGAAACTGTATACATTTTGAATTGAAACATCTCCTGTCTTCTTTCCTTACAAACACACCAATACATTTTCCTTACTACTATATATATATATATATATATAAGATAGAGGCAAGTCTCACAGAAAAATTCTACCATCAACACTGTCTTTTAACAGCTGTCTGACCGTGGTTCAAAAGTCATCAACGCGACCAGCTCACCATTCACTCACCCCCAAGATGTCAGAAAGTCCTATCTTCCAACTTATTGCAGACAGCAAAAGACTGAACTCAACAAACCCTCATCGGGACTGACGAATTCCCCGAACACCTCGTTCAAAGCACAATTACCCGTGCCATAGATACACCAATACTCCTCAAAGGAATTTTTTTACAAATGATTTTCTATCCAATGTAATTGGTAGGGGACATTGTTAATTTATTATAAAGCGATCACACTTAAAATGTGAACCTTCTTGCCCAATAATGTGAGAAAAACAAACGAAACCTCACCCAGTGTGGTACAACCCCCCCAACTAATCAAAATCTAACTACAACAACTCTCCTTCACGAAGACGGTGATTTCTCTACACTTTCTCCCGATGAAGACTCCACTTTTTCCTCCGCACTGCCGCCATCTTTGAACGACTTCTGCAGGACGTAGGCGTCTGCGGGCTCGATGCGCTTGTAGTAGTTCTTCTTCTCCTCCACAATCTTGAAGCCAAACTTCTCGTAGAAGCGGATGGCACCGTCGTTGTTCACTTGTACGTGGCTGGGGGACACACACAGGGAGTTAGTTTTAGTAAGTGTTTTACGGCACTTGCAACACAATAAGGTCATATAAGTGCCGAAGATTAGAGGTGTTACAAGAGAGTAACAAACACGAAATAGAAGGAGGGGAGATAGAGGTGATAGATTTTTTTATAGGAAAGAAGGAGCAAACCACACCAGAGCACCGGCCAACCACCCACAATGAGACACGTAGACAGGCAAGTGTCAGCTGTAAGTACAGAGAAGCACTCCCGCACGACAACCGCCATTTAGGGTTGCCAAAAAGTAAAAACAAACAGACAGAAACAGAAGCAGGGACCACCAACAGTGACCCTCAACCAAAGAGACGGAGACAGAGAGCATCTCCAGTGGTTAACCAAAGGTGTAACAATCTCCAGTGGTTAACCAAAGGTGTAACAATCTCCAGTGGTTAACCAAAGGTGTAACAATCTCCAGTGGTTAACCAAAGGTGTAACACAGTGGAGCTTTTTTTGTGTGTTGATTAGGCGGGTTGCTCAAACACAAGGAAACAAATTAAGCATTTTATTTTCTTTTGATTTACTCGTTTGTCTTTTTTCTGATTAACCGTGTTCAGCTTAGGTGGACTTCATGCAATTGTAAGAGGCACGGAGTGTGTATGATACATCTCTACGAGGTGTGTGTACGGTACATCCCCACTGTGCGTGTACGTACATTCCTCCCCACTGTGCATGTACGGTACATCCCCACTGTGTGTGTACGGTACATCCCCACTGCGTGTACAGTACATCCCCACTGTGCGTGTACGGTACATCCCCACTGTGCGTGTACGGTACATCCCCACTGTGTGTGTACGGTACATCCCCACTGCGTGTACAGTACATCCCCACTGTGCGTGTACGGTACATCCCCACTGTGCGTGTACGGTACATCCCCACTGTGCGTGTACGGTACATCCCCACTGTGCGTGTACGGTACATCTCTACTGTGTGTGTGTGACCTACATCCCTCCCCACTGTGTGTGACCTCACACATCTCCTCAGTGAGAAAACTCTTCCTCCCACACCCTGACTGTGACACACAAAGTGTAGACAACCCTGAACTAGCGACACGGACAGAGGACTGGCACTCACAGAAACACGTTGTCGATGTTCCCCTCCTTCTCGCAGATGTTGAGGACGTGCTCCAGCATGACCGTACCTGAGGACACATCAGAGACCAGAGTCAGTTCACGCCACTCACAAGTTCCTCCCTCACCCTATCCACTCACAAGTTTTTCACTCACCCTATCCACTCACAAGTTCCTCCCTCACCCTATCCACTCACAAGCCCCTCCCTCACCCTTTCCACTCACAAGCCCCTCCCTCACCCTTTCCACTCACAAGCCCCTCCCTCACCCTATCCACTCACAAGTTTTCCACTCAACCTATCCACTCACAAGCCCCTCCCTCACCCTATCCACTCACAAGCCCCTCCCTCACCCTATCCACTCACAAGCCCCTCCCTCACCCTATCCACTCACAAGTCCCTCCCTCACCCTATCCACTCACAAGTCCCTCCCTCACCCTATCCACTCACAAGTCCCTCCCTCACCCTATCCACTCACAAGCCCCCCCTCCCTCACCCCACCAATGCCTCACCCTATACAGCACAATCATACAGGCTTGGAGAGTCACAAATGGGGAGTCCAAAAAAAAAATGCAGTTTTTTTTCGTATTCTGCACAATTTTGCAATCTTGCTGGGATAAAAAATAAAACATAATAAATTGCTTCCAATTCACTACCACCACGTAAGATGTGGGAAACACCACAGCAAGTATCATATACTTTCAGCTGATCAAAATTACGTTCCGGAACTTGTTTACAGGAAGAAATCTTTGAGAAGCAGATGATTTTGGAAGCTCGCCTCAACCAATCCGTGATGTTTATCTTGCGTCACTTAGGCCAACAAGTCGGGCATTTATTTCCATGTTGAAACAAACGCACTCTAGAAGTTCAGAGATTTTTAAAAAGATAACAGCGACAATTTTAGAGAGGACATCAGAGGCTGCCACTCTGACAGAGATTCCGAGTTCACAGATAGTCGTCAATTAAATTAGCTGCGAATAAACGTTTAGAATGTGAAATCCTGGGACCAAGACCGATTACGGACATGACAGGTTGTGCTAGATCTAGGGTTAGTACTAGAGTTAGACCTACGACATAAACAGAAAAAGAATGACACCTTTAGATCCTGATCCTATAGTACAAGAGCAGGAACTAGGAGTAGCTTTGTGACTAAATAAGGAATTCGATCTAGAGCAAGTCAGCCAGGCAAAACAAACCACGCAGAGGTAAAGGAGACACCGGTCATCGTTGTGCTGTTTTGTGACAGTCTTCTTTGCTCTGAACCCTGCTTACTAAACGTGTTACATAAAAATGAACAATGTTTCAGCAGCTTCAGAAAACTTGTAGGATAAAAACTCAGTTGATTTATTTTTTCAATTCCACTAAAATCAAGCAGTTTCCCTGTATTTACTACACCTCTATTTGGACAGGTACTCCTAAAAAATTTCTGCATATGTGTTAAAATTTCCACCATTTTTGAAAGGTCACCCACCAAAAACTTTAACAGGTCTCTTTGTTCTTTTTTGCTGCAACAATATACTGTAATTCTGGTGTATCTGTGGGGTACATTTAGTGTATATGGTGTTAGTAGTTGAAGTTTTCCGACTTTCAAAGTAAGTTAAGCCACATGATGCCGTCTCCAAGACAACCTACCGATGCCAAGCCGCCGGTAAGGAGCCAGACAGCCCAGGGTCATGATGTACAGCCGTTTCTGGTTCTCCGAGGTGTCTATGCGGCAGCACACGGCCCCGATCACGATGTCATTGTAGTAGGCTGAGGACAGACGGCAACAGAAAAAAATAAGCTCCTGCTGGCTCACTAGTGGCTTTACAGAAATAAAGGGCAACAAACATTTCTCAATTAGATAAGACAAAATTCAAGACATATCGTCTCACTGTTACCACTCTGTCTACAGCAGAATTCAGTTTGTACCTGTGTCTGTGGTGTAATGATTAAGCTCTTTGTCACTGCACAATGATGTGAGTTCTCTACCTTGTCCGGAAGTTTTTGTATCCAGTATATATGATATCATTATCATGTACCTTTTTGTCCACTGGGTTGACCCCCTAAACAGGGACATAGCAACCCCTCCCCTACATGTATTGAAGGGAACGTAAAATACTTACAATATATCATGAGTATTTACATGGGATTCAAGTTACTGAGGCCGAGAAATATTTCTTAACAAAATTCTTTAAAAGGACAAATCACCCTTACAACTCTCAGTCCCAGATGGTCAGCCGGACGTAACACGCAATGTCTTGTAGGCAACCAGTAACGGCAAATTTTGCCAACTTCAGAGACGTCCATGGTCCAGCAGAACTCTAAAAGTAAAAGCTCTACGCATTTTCGTGACATTCCAAGTATGTCATAAGGCAATGAAGGGGTCAAAATCAACCAAAATCAGAGAGGAATGAACCTGTACGAACTCAGTATAGTATAGTAGTATAAGGTTTTACGGCGCTCGCAACTGCTAAGGTCATATGAGCGCGCGAAACACAAGTTGTTCACCTCTGCGAAAGTTCACTTCACGACTGGTAACTAATTTACTTTAAAATGCTAAAAAGTTGAAATATTCAAATT